TCAAAATATTTCCCCAAAGAGTTGCAGCCAGCAGCCCACATTGTAGAGTTTTGATCTTGCTAAAATGTTAACAATCACATGGGCAGCTGTGAATACAGAGCGACAATTATATACAAAAAAACCCACATAATTGAGAAAGAAACCATAGGGGGCTTGAACAGGTTGCTGAGGCAAATTGTCAGCCTGATGAGATTTCCGAGAAGAATGTGTAGAAGATAAAAAAAAAAACACAAAACCAACTTCAACCTCTGGGTTCTAAGAAAAGCTCCAGGACATGAATTGAATTTCATTGCTTATTTATTCCGTTAAATTAGTTCAGTAGTCCACGTCCCCCAAAGAATTAAGTCACCTGGAAAAAAAAAATAAAAAACAAAAAACATAAATGTACTAAAATCATTCTTTTCTAACTTAGAACCAATAACCATTGAATTAGATAATTTCTGAATTCTATGGGAAGAGCATGTCTGAGATTGTAAGAAACTGCTAAACCATTTTCTAAAGTACATCCCTGCCAGCATTTGGTGTAACAGCTTCGGGTTTGGGTATTTTAATAGGCGTGTAGTGATATCTTGTTTTAATTTTCATTTTGCTAATTATATATTTTTTCAATACATGTATGCACTGTCTAATGATGAATTAGTACAATAAATATGTCCATCATGTCCAACATTTTTTAGTAACACCAATGAACTGAACATTATTTAGTTTTCTTTAATCTTATTAAAATAAAACTTGACTAATATTTTCAATTAACCTTTATATCCTATTATACTTATCTTCTCTGAATATATGATAAAACACTGTTAATGAATATAAATTGTGTCTATTAATAAAAAGCATCAATTTTAATTATTTTTAAAAACTCATTGTATGATTATGATAGCATGTTTTATTCTGTTTTTTCAAGATTTTTAATAATATGATCTCTTTAATGCTTATGATAATCCAGTAAAATGGGGATTATTTTCACTTCTGATATAGTTAAAAAATAAAGTGTTAAGATTTAACATCTTTTCTTTTTTTTTGAGAGGTTTTTCGCTATACGGCGCGTGCGCTCGCCAGACAGACAGAGAGAGACATAGAGACAGAAAGCAAGACATCACCCCCCAGGGGGGATGGTCACACTGCAATCCCTTCTCCTCCAATTCTCCTCTCGGGAACTTGGGCACGCACGCCCACGCGCCTGGCGTGAATTTTAAGCCACCCGGTCCAGGACGAAAACCGTGGTTGACTACGTGGGAGTCCAGCGACATAGCCATTACGCTAACTGCTGGTTCCCAACATCCTTTTTTACTTAAAGTTAAAAACCTATAAAGTGATAGAGTCTGGATTTAGATTTATGTATTTTGACCTTTGAGCTTATAGGTGCAGTTCATGACTACTACATTAATTTCCTATTTTTTTGTGTATTAACTCATATTAAAGTAGGATAGCTGCATTTATTATTAACTTGGGAGACATACAGAACTGTTTTAAAACCTTAGTTCTGGTACTCTTAGCTAAACAACCTCAAGGGATTTATTTCTCTGAGCTTTATTTTATCCTATCAAAAATTTTCTATAGACATATCTAACTGTACTATTTAAGTGAGACACATATGTTAAAAAGCAAAAAGACCAACCTCTGGGTTATACGAGGTTTTAATTTGAGCATATAATCTACTTCACTTATTACTAAGATGCAGGGTAAATGCAAGTCAATTTCTTTTTTAATCAATGATAGAAGATAAAGAGTGGTCATTACAATATTATCCATTGGATGAATATGGTGTTGCAGAAATGTAAATCAAATTGAATTTTCATCTCCACTTTTAATTTTTTTAAAAGAATTACTTATATATTATTTCTTCTTATATTATGAATATTATTTATTTTCATATGCTATTGGACATGTGTGCTCACAGGAGAGGGACAGAGAGAAAAAGAGGGAGAGATATTAAGAAAGAAAGCTGCCAGGTCTGGGACTCAAACCATGGTCCATCATATGGGAATCCAGTGTCTCAACCACTATGCTACTTGCTAGTCCCCCCAGTTTTAATTTGACTGTTCGTACTTTTGAAATACATAAAACTGTCCACTTTTTCTTCCTCTGCATAGCTTCTATGTCCAATCATGATTTATTCATTTGCATTTGAGATTATTTTTTCCACCTATAGTTTCTTCATTCAACTATTCATTTGAAATGTAAATCAACACAAAGCCCTGGAAAAGGTTTATTTGTGTGTCTATATACACTCAGGGAGGAGATTATATAAGTCAGTGGTGAAAGAGTTACTTTTTCGTTGTCTAATACAGACTGTGTTGTTCATGACAAGTCAGGTTGGGGACAGCAGTGTGAACACTAAGCTTTATTAAGTCAAAGAAAACAAAAGGAAGTGAGCTCACAAAAACTCATATTATTATAATGAGATTGTTAAAAGCTCATCTTTCACAGAAAGACATGGTTGGGATCAGTAAGATTTTCCCATTTAATAATGAGGAACAAGAGCATGAAAGAAATGGAACCTGGTAACAAATACTAAAAATGTGACACACTTTAGTGCCATGGAATCAGTAAGTATTAAAGGTTCATGACATAGCCCATGGCCTGCACATCTACAGTATAGCTGTTAATCTGCCCTACTCACTTTGGACATGAACATTCTATTGGTAGATCAACTTGCAAAGCCATACAACCCTTTAACAGGGATAATAGGACAAAGCAAATAAAGAGAGAGAGGAGCTTCTTATAGCAGTGGTGGGTTCTCCCTAGTCCCACAAAATAAAGACAAGTATCAAAAATGTTTTCTAAAGGCCTATAGTGACTTTATTTATTTCACTGAAATCATTCAAATGCAAATGGAATAGCTCATACTATTTTTCATTTCAAAGTATGCCCTACCTTTGTGCACTTCAGTATCAGAAAATGTGTTATATCTCTACTATATTTAAATTTTAAATATAGTTTTACTAACATCCATCATTTTCCTTTCGTGCCTCAGAGTCTGAATTTTGTTGTTTAGGCTCCAGTACACTAAATGCATAAAGAGGGTTTAGGATACCACATGAAGAATCTCACTCAGAGGAAGGATGATTACTGTAGGCTGGAAAAGTTGAGGAAGATATGGAATAGAGGGATGTTGATCAGTGGAAACAAAATTGCAAATAAATAGAGGGAAGTTTTCTAGTGCTATAAAATGCAGTTGGTAGCATACAGTTAACAACAATTTACTGAATATCTCAATAACTAAAAATAGATTTTTGAATATTCCACATACAAAGTAATGACAAGTGATTGAGATGATGATAGCGTGAAGGTGGTGTAGTGATTAAGGTTTTGAATACCCACATGGTTGTCAATGGTTCAAGTCCCAGATATAGCCGCTAGAAATTCATCCAGGCATATGTACGTGCCTGCTCAAAGTCCATAAAAGAAATTACTGAGAAAAGATTGCAGTGTAGCCATCCCCTTTGGGGGTGATTTCTCATTTTCTGGCTCTTTGTCTCTCTCTCTCTCTCTTTTTTTTTTTGGAGAGGTTTTTGCTATAGGGTGAGTGTGCTCACCAGACAGACAGAGAGAGACAGAGAGACAGAAAGCGAGAAATC